CAAACGAACAGCCAAAAACTGGGCGTACGTTCTGACTACGCCATGGAGTGTCATGAAAATACCCTGCCAGGGAGTTTGCTTCAATACGACAGCGCCAAGTGCATGAGCTCCATCCTATTGCTCACCCAAACGACGGTCAATAGACCTATCCAAATGCTAGGACGATCCTTGAAGTATCGAGAGAGAATGGCATTTGCGGGAATTTCTTGTGGAAGTGTGGAAAGACAAGTCAGAAGGGCGGGACAAGTGTATACGGCTTTACTAGGCTTTACTCACCAAAGAGGATGTACGGAACAAAAAACACGCTGTGTAGATAGGGACGGAAGATCAGTCATGTCCTGTGATGTCTCCGGAAGTGTGGGGTAACTCACCTGAGCGCAACATTGTATTGTGTTGGGCTCATCCCCAAATCCTTGTCTAGACCTTCGATCTTCGTGTTCCCTGGCCGTGTAACAACCTTCACAGTTAGCGATGTACAAGGTTGTGACTGGACGACTCACCGATATTGGTACGGTCTGCGTGATGAGTTCAACGAGTGATGGAACGTCCGAGTCAGTCCATCGAAATCCACTTCAACGGGAGAGAAACGGCACCAATGTAGCTAGCCAAGTAGAGAATTGTCAACATTGGCATGAGCCGTATGTCGAGCCTCCGCAAGATACTTTTTCTCTTCTCGTCGGGGAAAGCGTCGAGAAATTCCACCTCATCAGGCTCAAGGCCACAATCGCTCTCGAAAACATATTCGGTGGCTCGAGTCCGCCGCGGTTTCTCTTCGATGTCCGACATGAGGCTGAGGTCAGGGATTGGAAGGGACAGCGAGTTCGAACGAGGGTCAGACCTTTTTATCCACGATTACTATCTTCCCATTATCCGAGGGCCAAGACTTCAACTTCAGGGAGAGGGTGCCAGGCTCCAGCACAACTCAGTCTCCAGCTTCCATCCGAGGTCAGAAGGGGTCTGTTGCTCTTACGGCCCGTCTCATCCGGTTCCTGGTAAGCGGGACCCATGGCTTTGCAAGGCTTTCTCGTGACATTGCACAGGAGGTCCGTGTTATGTGCCGGGTCCTATGTAGTAACCTTCGATTTTGCGTCTTGCATCCCTGGAACAGCTGGGGACCTCCTCCATCCCCCTCGAGCCAGTGGGTAGATACTAGAGACGGGCCAGGAACACATGTTACGTCAAACTCTTCAAACCCCCTGTGTAAAGCAATGCAACTATCTTGAGGTATATTGTGCCGAGCTGTAGAACGGCGGACACGTTTTAATTGCTTCGACGACCATGGTTGCCCAACAGTTCATCGTTCTCCTTTTTCTGAAGCTTTTCACTCTCGGTGAGTCGTTCCAGCACCGCCAAAGCCCTTCATTCATTCATCACTACGATTTCTGTCAGTTCAGGGACAAACGTTCACTCTGAACGTTGTTGAAAAGACCTCGTACCCTTTCAATACTCCAGGGAATACCCAAGAGTTTGAAGCTGCTGGGACTGGCACAGATGGGGCGACAACTCTCGTAGACCGCATCCGTGTCAGCGAATATCTAGTTGTGGATGACTCAGCCTCGACGCCATTCCTGACCACAGCGACAGCTGTCTCGACCTTCACCCGTGAGTATAGTAGTCAATTCCCTTATGTTCACATCCCCATATCAAACCATTTTCCTTCAGAAACATTCGTAGCAGCTGGTTCTTCTGGATATCAGATCATCTACTCGCCTCAACAAACCGGGGCTGTCGCCATGATCCAATCCTGTTCATTCCAGGATCAGGAGAAGGGAGAGTGTGTGGAGAAAGACTGGTTGGTGGGACAGTCTTCCACGCAAACGACGACATTTACTGGGCGAATCGTGCCGTATTGGACCGTAACACAGCTAAACGCTGTGACACCCACAAGCACGGCGACCAATCCTCAAACCACCGCAAAGTCTGGCAGTGATGGTAATGGAAGCAATCAGGGAAACTCTGCCCTCTCAATGAGGATTTCTTCCCTATTCTCAACGATGGTTATGCTTTTGGGTATTTTTATGGGCATGTAGTCACAGAGATTTGTGCATCGCGAGGCGAATGGTACCATATACGATCAAAAGATTAGTGATCAAGGTTCACTCAGAAATTTGAAACGTCGGCATAGGAGATTTTTTGCATGCGGAATAAAAGTGATACATAGGTCGAGGGAAGAACTAAGGGGCATACCGACGATACAAAAAACAGACCGCTTGATTTTCTCCCCCTGGCCTGACATGACCCATCCAGCGACCCCATAGGATAAATCCAGCCGTAAGAAATGTGCTCATCGGCCAGCACCAGGGACGTTTCTCCTCTCCCTTCGAGGACCACGCTCGACTTGGGCGGTAACAGGAGCAACGACGTTGACAGGGATGGACTCGAAGTTGAGAGAACGGAGCATTTGCTATAGGTCAAGATGAATGAGCCTCCAAGATCGTAGATTTAGGTGAGATATAGAAACCTTGGTCTCTTCATCAACATCGAGAGGAGCACCACCGTTGTCGAGGGCCGAAACTTCGGGGACGTAGTTATCCTTACGCTCACGCTCTTCTTCCTGGAGCTTGAAGGAGATACCACGAACGGGACCCTTTTGGATACGCTTCATCAAGTGGGTGGTGAAGCCAGAAATCTTGTTGCGGAGACGTTTCGAGGGAACGACAGCCTGCGATCGAATCTTTCAGCGATACGGTCTTGAGAAGATGTTCCAGCAATACGCACAACTTCATCAATGATCCTCTTGTTGGTGTGGAAATCGAGAGTGAGACGAGGGTAGCTAGAAGGTACACCAATCACCGTCAGATCCAATGGCTCCTCCCCGACATCTAGGACTCCGGCACGAACTATTTCTCAATCAAGACTCGGGAAGCCCTCTTGGTGGTCTTGGTTCTAACACGGCCCTATAGCATAACGAACGTTCAAACCTTTAGCTCTAAATTTCTTTCTAATGAAGAGTAGTATCTTGCTCACCATATTGTCGGTTAAGTCGTTGGTGGTCTTGAGGGATTTGTTTTGCGCGACTTGCGGCTCTGAGGATTTGCGAACGTCAATACACTGACACAAAGTCTGGGAAAGTTTCGGAACTTTCCGAGTGTGTGGCTGTCCCAAACTGTGCAGTTGTCCCAAGCCACCGTCTATATTACCTAATCGATACCTTGAAGGAAATTTCGGTAGTCCTCTGTCTCTCGCTGTCCTCCTCCTCAAGATCCCCTCAAAAGGTACTTATCCTCCCCGTCGCGCTCGCTACGCTCGGTCTACGGTCTCTCCAAAGTTGATCTCGGCAGAATTGCTTGGGATATGAAGCTCTCCGACAGCCCGTTTGACTCGCGCTTTCTGTAGCGCGACACTCAGACTGGGTTTTATACATTTGCTCACGTCATGTTCTTTGGAACTTGTAGGAACCATACTTGATTGACCTCTTCACGTCTTCAAAATGGTTCGCGTATCCGTTCTCGTGCGTACATGGTGCTTTTGCTGTTATGAAGGTCGAAATGAGCTGAATCAGGTCGACATTTTATAGAATGACTGCCTCAACAACATCGTCAACGCTGAGCGCCGTGGAAAGCGCCAGGTCCTCATCCGACCCTCCTCGAAGGTTGTCGTAAAATTCTTGAGTGTCATGCAGAGACACGGTGAGTGTTGCTGGTCAACTCCGAATCCTACTGTATACTTCGTCTTCATATCCCCAATTTCACCAACCCATTCACTCGGAGCGATATAACTACGATCGACGAGGCATTCTCTCTCACCCGCCCCTCGTTTTAACCCTCCGAAATACAAACGCACTTTCGTCTCGGAAACCAAACAGCTCTACCTGCCTTCATATTCGTGGTGGTCGAGTTCACAGATGAGACCACATCCTTTCGTATTATATTTATACGTTCCTCTCCTTATACCGACTAAATACCGTTATTTATTCATGAAACTAACCGTTTCAATCTTCTTAGGTTACATCGGTGAATTCGAAATCATCGATGACCACCGTGCAGGAAAGATCGTCATCCAGCTCAACGGTCGCCTCAACAAGACCGGTGTTATCTCTCCTCGCTTCAACGTCCAAGTTACCCAGATCGAGTCTTGGGTCAACTTGCTCCTTCCTTCTCGTGGTTTCGGAATTATCATCCTCGTAAGCTTATAACGTTCTCGCTTCTAGTGTGGATGCTCATACATTTACTCTGTGCTTTAGACTACCTCCTCTGGTATCCTTGACCACGAAGAGGCCCGTCGTAAAAACGTCGGAGGAAAGATCTTGGGATACGTGTACTAGGTAGTTACTGTTGGGATATGTGATACTTCATGCTTTGCTCCTCATGTACACTCTAGCATGTTATGACCTAAAAATGTACCCTTCTGGTGGTATTCCGCTACCCGTAAAGCTTAGCTTGGTACCCGTAATGCGAGAGTAATTGATACAGTACAATTCTGGTATGTTTCATGTGCTTAGGCCTGCAACAGACCGGACGACCAGACTCTGACGAGAAAGCATGATGCTTGCCATCGTCAGGTAGGGAGATGCTTTAGGTCTGGAGAGAGCTATAGATATGTAGGAGTATGTAGGAGTGAACGTCGGAAGGCGCGAAAAGATTGCGAGAAGTCCACAAAGTTGAGTTAAAACGGAAAAATAACATGTCTCGGGAGGGAGTCGAGCCCTCGGCTTCTCGGTTCTGTGCTAATAGGCGCCACAACGAGATGATTTAACCACTAATCGACCAAGACGTTGTTACCGTGTGATTTATTCCAGCATACAACATCAAGATCAGCAAGAATTTTTTCTGTCCGATCTTGATCATCATGCAAAGTACGATTCAAACCACGGTTTACCTGCGATGTATGAGGAGGCGAAAAAGCGACCTGTACACCTACGCGTGTATGAAGAGGTCTCATGGTATTTCACTTTCTTATGAAACCTTTGAGGGCTGTCGCGATCGGCAATCCTTGTCATTGAAGACTGTATTGCGCCAAAGAAATGAACTTTGGCACCACGTAATATTCGACTTCTTGGAGAGGGGCTTGAGGTAAGGGAAGGTCAGCTGGAGACAGGTTTCATGTTGATACTGAATACGGAGATGTAATTATGCGCGATCAAGTGCACTTGCGAAGTTATAGGACATCCTAAAAGGTATTCAACCGCCAAGTAATATTGGTGTCTGAGGTGACGGGACTGTCAGGTGCTAAACGGCATAGATATCGCTTATATACGATATGAACAGGATGTATATAGGCGCCTAGTCGCCACCGAGCGGTGGTTACAGTATGACTCTGAGGGAGATAACGGCTAGCAGCTCCGTCGATGTCGCGGAATTGCTTCCTTATATTTGACCAGGAATTCTTCGTTAGGTCACAGATCCTGAGGGAACAGCAGGAAGCTTCAAGCCTCTTTTTTTGCCCGCCGACGAGAACTCGAGTACTCAAGCTTAAAACGCGTAGAGGTAGACTAGACCCATCCCAGAAGCAGTGGTCGGAATGACAGTCTTACTAGTAGACTGCTACTTGCCATAGGGGTGACTTGAGACTCGTGTCGGCTGCATGCATCTACCGGCCGGTGCGAAGCAAAACAAGACTGGCTGGAGGTGGCAATTATAGCAATTCCCACCGGGTGCGTCGTCTGAGATCGCCTGAGAAATAGCACGCTCAGCCGCTCCCCTGCCGCATTTCACGTTTGCATAGCCTCCGGGAGGAATAATCTATTATCAAGACAAATCTAAGCTGAACGTTACAGACTTGAAGGGATGTACTGTTCAAAGTTGGATGTTGAAACTTTGAAAGGAACTTGAACTTGAAACCCCCTAAGGACGCCCAAGTGAGCGCTTGTGTCGAGATCGTACTTACCCTCCGTAGATAGCACCGCCTATCATTGATGACATCATGACTGAATTACTGGGCAGAGGTACTGAGGTAGGTCGAGACTTGGTAAATCTCAGCCTGGAGTCAGCTTATGTGAAGATTTGAATAAAATTCGGAAGGCAAAGCCAAGGAGGGATCTTGTGCAAAAACGCAGAGAGAAGTCCGATTTCTAGGCAACTTTTCTATGAGTTTCGTGCCAAATTCGGACGCCTAAAGTTATGTCCGTTTCCGAATCGGGAAGGTGACGGCGTTCGCACGGCATCCGGAACGGACGAAGACCGTTCCTGGCGTGTAAAAATTCCCAATTGCATTACTTATCTCTCAGCTTGCCCATTGACGGCCCTGCCCTCTTGTTTGCCTCTCCTCGTTGCCTTCCCCGTTGTCGAAACTCTCCTTGTCATCGCTGTCCGCGATCTTGAAGCGTTTTGACTGGTCGACAAAAGGCATCTGAGGGCTATTAGGGTCACGCTTCCTTATAACGCCTTGTCGTGAAGACACCATCCACATCATCCCACTTTTCCTCGCCCTTTCTCTTCCTCTTCCATGATGCCAGCGAACTCAGGTAGCCCACAAAACCTTAACCTCTTGCACGACAATGCCTCGACACCCTCTACGAGTTCTGATGAGACGGGAAATCCTTTCAATCAGAATACCATATCACCCTCAGCCTTGTCGAGTACAGGAAGTCTGGTATCACCAAATAATGGGCAGGGTGCTCCTACGGGCTCGCAGGGAAGCAGGGAAGCAGTGAACAATGCAGGCGTCGCTGGCCTTGGAACTCGTGGAAGCAGTGGAGGTGCACCACCGAGAGAGGGCATGCCCAACCCATCTTCGCGACCAGCTTCGAGAGGGAGTTCGATGCATTTCAACGGCCACAACACTCACCCACGAACATCATCGAACGTTTCCTCAGGCCAGGTACCAGGCTTACCGACTGGCTTTGCTGGTTCCTCAATGCAACAATTACCTTTGGGTTCCACAGGTTCCATGGTCTTGTACAGGCTTGCTGATTCTCCTCACACTCATACAAGTGGCCTCCCCTCGTCGACTCATCCAACCAGCAATCCACAGTCCGCGACCAACTCGAACAGGAACTCTAATGCGTCCGACTCCGCCAGTGCTGCGTTAATACCTCCTACAAATCCGTTCGGCGGTGGCAACGGGTCCAATCGATCGAGTATCATCAGTTTTGGAATGGGCTATGGCGAGGACACGGACAGCAGATACCCTAGCCTGCGTGAACACCCTTCAATGGGCTTGCTGAGTGTGAGAAGCGACGGAACAGGTACTTCAAACACTGGTAAGCGTTCTGATTCTTTCTAAGCGTCGTTTAACGTCTTAATCGGGCGTTTCCAGGCTCAGGTTATGGTTTCGGCGGTCTATCGCTAACCACTGCTGCACGTATCGCAAATGCCGAGTCACAAACACCGTTCACACATCATCCGATCCATCCTCCTCTTTCAGCTCCGTCACCCGCACATTCTCCTTCTCTTGGCAACCCGCGTCCTCCCTTTGCTGGTCACAACGGAAGTATTCCTGGGACTCCTACCACACCTTCTTCAGCACCATTACCTCTAAACGCTCCTCGTGGTCTCATTCCGTACGCTTATGATCCAGCTGTCGATTCGCTTTTGCCCGACGACGAGGAGGACATTTTACATGACCCCAACGCATCCCCAGAAGCCGAGAAAAAGCTGCACTCCCAAGGTGGCTTGTTATATCATAATGGAAACCGGAAGGGCGGCAACTCGTCGTGGTCTTGGAGAGGGATTTCGAATTTGGGCCTACTTGGCATGGTCTTGTTGGCCCTGATAGCTTTGTTCTTACTGTATCCGGTGGTCACCGAGCTGCAAGCACGGTGGGTCCCTTTCTGCCTTACTCTCAAGCTCGAACCTAATCTCTCTGGCTGTTCTCAAATTTAGGGATCGGAACAATGCAATCACTGGCAACATTCAGGTGAATGGTACTGGTCAAGCCCCAGTCTTGGCCAACGTCAGGGAGTTGGTTGACAAGGATACACCTCAAGATGTGAGTACCCATCCATGTGCCCCGATTCTATATTTACCTAACATCTATCAAAAGGTACGGACTCGTACGGGCTTTGACGGGGAGGAATACGAGTTGGTTTTCAGTGATGAGTTCAATGAGGACGGTCGGACTTTCTGGCCTGGAGACGATCCATACTTCGAGGCAATGGATTTCTGGTATGGTGTCACGGCAGATTTGGAATGGTATGATCCCCAGCAGGTAAGCATGATCGAGCCATCTTTTTCCGCTTGTGTTCATTGTTGTGTTAGGTAACGACACGCGATGGCGCGCTGGTCATCACGATGGACAGTGCCAGCTGGCCAACAGCTGGCTCGACACCCGGTTCGACGGCTCCCTTCACGCCGGAGCAAAACCACAATTTGGCCTACCGAAGCGGAATGTTGCAGTCTTGGAACAAACTCTGCTTCACGAGCGGGTACATTGAGATCGCTGTGACATTACCGGGACAGGTGAAAGATATCTTTAGCGCGGCTTTAACCGGCAACTGATGAAACTCGCAGAACGGTCAAGCAGAAGGTTACTGGCCCGGAGCATGGACCATGGGTAACTTGGGACGACCCGGCTATAGGGCTACCACCGATGGAATGTGGCCTTATAGGTGAGCGATAGGACCTCAAACCCCATCTGGGACTTCCGTTTTCCGCACCATTTGCATTTGCGTCGATGCTGACCTTTCCCTCCCATCAGTTACGATGCTTGCGATGTTGGCACCTTCCCCAACCAAACCATGAAGGACCAATCTGGACCGGCAGCGGCACTGTTCAGTGACGCAAGTTGGCCTGAGTACGACAAGAAGCTAAGTGTTCTGACTGGGCAACGGTTGAGGTAAGGAATTTTCTATGGAATTTTTACAACACTGATGCGATGTCCCGCGTAGTGCTTGTACCTGCCCGAATCAAGATCACCCAGGTCCTTGGTTGTCCGGGGAAAATAGATATCGCGGTCGTGGTGCTCCAGAGGTGAGTCATGGATCTCTGTCCTCCGACGTCGCTCACGTTTTCGCTATTGCCCCCGCATTCTCACGGCCACGTAGATCGATATTATCGAAGTCCAGAAAGATAAAGCAGAGGATCCGCTGACCGGGCTGGAACGAACTGGGAACGTTGTCAGTCAGAGTGTCCAGTTCGCTCCGTTCAGCCATGACTACACGATTGTTGAAGTAAACACACTATCTTATCTTCGTCGTTGCGTCGGGGCTCACAGTATGTGTTCTAACAGAACGCGAACACTTTCACGGTCTACAATGCCAGCAATACCTATGTCAACACATACCATGGGTCTCCACTGCAGCAAGCCGTGTCTGGTCTAACCAAAGTTCCGGCTCAAGGGTACCAAGGAATGCCCGACAAAAGGTAACGATAATTTTATCGTCGATGGAATACCAACTTACGACTGCTCCAACGTAGATTCGTCACTTACGGCTTCGAATACTGGGCAGACAACAGCAATCGCCAAAATACCCACATCACCTGGCAGGTTGATGGTAAACCATCTGTCACCGTCAGACCCGGCGCAGTGGGCCCCGACAAAGGCACCACTGGTTCACAAGTGGATCAACGACTGACACCGGAGGAACCTATGTCTATCATTATGAACTTGGGTATAAGTAGTGAGTATATCTCCGCTCTGGTCTCCAAATGAAATGAAATGCTAACGTCCCACAAGGAAACTGGCAACAAATCAAACCCGAAACTCTAATTTTCCCCGCCGAGATGACTTTCGACTATGTTCGTATCTATCAACGCAAAGGACACACCAACATCGGGTGTAACCCGAAGGACTATCCTACGTCGGATTATATTGGACTGCACATGGATCAGTAC